GCGAGTGGGTGAGCGCGAGGCGGGCCGAGATGAGCGGGTCTGAGACGGCCGAGCTGACACGAGCGAAACGTCTCGCGTCGGAGTGACAATTGAACTGGCGGCGTCGTGTTGCAGGCGAACAGGTGCTCCTGATGCTACTGCTTATGGCGCTGTTACTGCCACCACGCTCTGTTACAGTTAGGCCTCGCTCTCGCTCTCGCTCGTGCGCACGGGCCTTCTCAGCCTGGCTGGCTGGTCGAAGTGCTCCTCGGTCTGTCCATGCCTCGGCGCGCACACGAGGCCTGAGGCAGGGGTGTGAGTGCGCTCGGGCCGACAGGTACAGACACAGACGCGGGCAGACAAAGGCGCGAGCACACGCGCCGTCAGAGAGGCGGACACACGAGCGCCGCTCCTATTCGTCGTGGTCTACTCGAATGCGGCCTGACAATGCTGACTGGGCCATTCGAGTGTCTGCCTGCCTGCCTGCCTGATCGCCCGCCTGTCTGCTGGCACGCCTGCCTGCGCCTCGGCCTGCCGGAATGTCCGCGAGCCTGCGTGCCTGCGTGTGTGTGCGTGTGCGTGTGCGTGCTTGCTTGCATGCATGCATGCATGTCTGAGTGCGGATGGGTGAAATTCGCGGCTGACCGTCGGACGAAAGGGACGGCCGTTTCGCGGCTAGACGGGCGCACGGGCAGACAGGAACCGCACGAGCACGCACAGACAGGCCGAACGTAAAGGCGGCCGCGTCGAACGGACACGCGGCGGCAGACTGGCAGGCACGCACGGGGCAGTCCGGAGGAAGTGAATAACGGGTCAGGCCAGCCATCAGACGAGCGAGGCCGGCGCTGGATAAACGGACAGACCGCCAGACCGTGGCAGTCCAGGTTGAGGATGACTGTGAGCGAGCCGAGGTTTGTCGGCCCCGCGAGCACAAGGAAAAGACCAAGGCCACGACTCCTCCGCCGCTTCTCCACCTCTTTCGACCGGGAGCAAATAAAAACCACCTCAAATCTCAGCGCTACTCTCCCCCTCTCGAGTATGCCGATGCAGTTTTCGACTCAGCCGACACGGATCGAAGCCGACATGACACTCACTGACTGACCCACACTTTCAAGCAAAACTGTAAAGGTGCACTG